TAGGTGACTCCTGGCTCCCCCTGCAGAGTGCCAGAGATGTGTCACACCCAGAAATTACTCTCTATAGACAAGGAAACAAATAAAAAAACCTTGGAGTTCTCCTTTTTTTTTGTTTTGTTTTGTTTTTAATTTCTGTATGGGCAGAATGTTCATTCCTTTAGAAAAAAATAAAAACCACACCAAAAAAGCCAGCAGCAACCAAACTTAGGGAATGAGCAGCAGCCCTTTGGAGAGCTGCCCCTGTCACTTGCTGAGGCATTTCTGTGCACAGCTGACAAAGGGAGAACAAAGCAGAGCCAGCCCTGAGCTGCACACGCTGTCCGTGCAGGCTCCCAGCTTGCTTGAGTTTCTAATGGCAACCACAAAAACTCTTCAGCTATGGCAAGCAGTGCCTCCATCCTTTTGTTAGGTCATGTTTGAAATCCTGCAAACTCTTTAAATAGCAACGTCTTATGAAATACAGTCATCAGATTAAAGAGCTTTTATCTACATTTTCTAGGACTTTCTCTTAACTGTTCTCCTATGGAAAGAATGGTCTTTGAGTTACTGAGGGGAAATTCACTGTCAGAATTTTAAAATGGAATTGTAAAACTGGAAAAAAGAATGTATTTAACTAAACTGGAGGTGAAGGGACACACTTCCCAGTTTCACAATTCTCCTTTGATATTCAGATTCATTTCATATTCACTGAACAAAACTTAGAAATAGGTGTAACTTTTAGAAAGTCTGATAATCTTTGACAGAAATCACCTACTTTAATGTTACACTGACCTAATTTTTCTGGGCATGATTATCTACCTTGAAGCCTGTGGGAGTTTTACTGGTGAAAGTATTGGGAGAAATAAACTGTGTTGGAAAATTAAAAGCAAAACCAAAGAAGAACATATAATTCAAGCAATGTGGGAAATGTTTTTCACATCAAAATATGAAATACACACACACAAAATACAGTTTCTATATTGAAATTTTTCACATCAAAATATGAAATACACACACACAAAATACAGTTTCCATATTGAAATCTCAAATACTTCCAGCTGGAAAATTCCCAGACTACTCTATGAATGATGGAGCTGCCAGGCACCCTCCTTCTCTCACAGAGTAGACAATCTCTGCACCCACCTCTGAGGCAGCAAAGGAAGAGACACGATCAGGAAATCGGCTGGGAAATCAGCTGGGATACAAGTAATATCAGTCTAAATATCAGCAAACACAAAGTTCATTTTACAAACATAGACAAAGATTTGTAACCTCCATGACAAGAGTAACAGAGCCAGCAGCACCTCAGTCCTCACTTGTGCTTCTTGGGTACACATTCTTTCTTACTCTTTTTCTTTCATCCCAGTTCAGCAGTAAAACAGCATCTTGTTTCAACTTTGATGCTCCATGGGCATTACCAGTCCTTTATTCCTGCAGTATAATGAGATGTGCTTTTGCCCTAGAGCTTTTAGTGAATGCTGCAAAGCTTTCTATTATTGCTGAGTATTTTAGCAACACCAAAAAAACCCAATTAAGAGGAAAATAGGAGTAATTCAATGTCTTCTGCCATCTTGGATTGATTTACAGTTATCATTTGGCTGAGCAGTGCTCAGAGTAAAGTCTCTCACAGCCTAGGTACAGCTGTAGAGAAAAGAAGGAGGGGGCAGGAGGTCGGAAGGCTCAGCTCTTCCTGAGCCCTGGCAGAGCTGTGGGATTGCCTGTGTTGCTGGAGTAACCGTGTCCTCCTTGGGAAAATCCTGCTGCTTGCATTGGAAAGAGGCTCCGCTGCCTTGGTTCATGTCCCTGGCAAAGCAGTGGCACCAGTGACAGGGGATGTCCCCAGTGCCTGGCTCTGTCACACTGACACCTCGTCTTTGCTAGGGGTGACCCCTGTCACTCCTGGGCTTGGGAAGGGCTTCGTGGGACAGAGGGAGCCTTGTCCCCCTGCATGCTAATTCTGGGACAGAGAATGCTCTGAGCAGAGCATGGCTGGCTCTTCAGCTGCCTGTGAACAGGCCAGGGAAACAGAAGAGTTTCAGAAGAATGTTATTTACACTGCTACTCCCTAGCTGGCAGTTCATACAGATGGGACGTGCAGTCAATTCCTCTGGGGATTAACCAGCAACTGGGCACTTCTCCTGGAGCCACTCCATCCCTCCCCTCTCTGGGAGGCACAGAGGGGACAGATGTGCTGGGAAAGCCCCTGGGGAGCCCAGAGGCAGCAGGGACTGGGCCTCAGCCAGCAGCCAGGGTCACCTGCACTGCAGGACATGGCCAGGACAATCCTACAGAACCCTGTGCTCGAGACATGAAACATTTGAGTCATGAATAAAGCCAGGTCTCACTGCTGGATTTGCTCTTTGCACAGAGAGGCAAAGTGAGCTTTTGATGTGGATGTAGGGAGAAGAAGAAGAATCCTCCATTTTCCTTGGTAGATTTTCAGGCAATAAAAATGTTCCCCTCTGAACATATCTGTGCACACCTGCCTCATGCTGGTTATGATAAATGGGGGTTCTGGGTATCACAGAGCGTTTGCCTGCAGGCAGGTATGGACATGCTTCTGGTTTGGTGCTGATTCCTGACCCCAGCTTTTAGGTGGCAAATGGGAGATTCGCTTAAAACTCTCCCTCCTAAATGCTCAAGGTCCATGTCTGGGTTACCTGGAGTGCCGTGGAGATGGGTGGAAAGCTGCCCTGCAGGTTCCTGCCCCCATCCCAAGGGTGCAGCACTGCAGGCTCTGTGCTGGGCAGGGAGCTGCCCCAGGGAAGGGCTGGCTGCCCTGCCTGGGCCCTGACTTTGGGATTTCAGTGAATCCTGAAATTGGATTGTGAATCCTGAGTTTGGGATTTGGGATTTCAGTGAATCCTGACTTTGGGATTTCAGTGAATCCCTGCCTTTGTCAGAAGGCTTAATAACCATGTGTACATTTCTTTCTTCTCTTAAATTACACAGTTGATTTTACTTTTCTTGTGATGGCAATTTTATTGTAAGGTTTTACTTCTCTTTTACTGTGCATGAAATGGAACACTGAGGTGGCTGTTCAGGAATCAAAATTATTCCTGTAATTGTAGCACAGTGAATAAGTATGTGCAAGAGAATAATCTTGTAAAAGCTGATTACCTCAGCCATTAATAATTAGGATTTATGAGTTAAGTAATATGCTGCAACTACATCCAATACCTTGGCAATTGCATGTGGAAAGTTGAGAGATAATTTCAGAAATAATTCATTGGGAAATCCCAAGTGACAACTAAACCAGCATCTTAGGTTCTGCCTGTGGTTTCTCCCTTCAGCTCTGACTGTTTGAAGCTGGAGTGGCAATTTGCAGTCTTGTCTCATTTGTGGACATACAATTTGTTCATTTTAATTTCTTTGTGCATTGCTTAATTGGATTCTTAGCAAGATTTTTTGTTTTACTGGGTTCTCCTGGCAGAAGAATTAATAACAGATCTGAAGTTTAAGTGCATGTACACAGAGTTGTCTGGTCCTTACATTTTCCTCTATATTTTTTTCTGATTGTTAAACACGCTCAGTATAAATTAAATTTTCGTGTATTTAAAAAGACAAGACAGCACTTTCAATCTACTCCAAATTTTTTATCTTATTCAGTGATATATGAAATCTGACAAATTCAAGTCTTGCAAGTACGGAGAGGACAATTACAAATCTGTCCCTTCTCCCTTCAAGTTCAGCCAGGAGCCTAAGCGGGTGCCCATCTGTAAATACCAAGTTGTTTATTGAGCACCCCCTGCACGGCAGAGCTGTCACTGTGCGGGCAGGGCCTGGCCTCCAGCACCTCCAAACATTCCAGCTACTTCTGCTCTGCCAATTACACAGGAGCAGAGTCACACCTGGGTTTTGCCTTTCATGCATTTGAGGGAAACCGGACAAATAATTCAGCTTCAAGATTCAGTACTAGGGAAGCATTCTATATTGTATTTTACATTCCTAGCCAATGTGGCATTTAATACTGGAGCTAATTTCTCATGAAAATGCTCCCTGTGCTGTGACAAAATAGCTTTTAAAACACAGGACTCCCTATTTTTTCCAGTGGAAGCAGAGGCAGATTTTAACTGTAGAGGAGCAGATAGCAAAATATGGCCACATTGTAATTATTACTGAATGTAACAGAGCAGAAAAATGCCCGTGTGTCTTTATTTCAGGACTCAGTGCTGAAGCTCTCCCCTGCTGGGAGTGCAGGGACCCTTGGCTGGGCTGCTAGAGTGGGCAGAACTCGTGTCCTGGCACAGAAACGAGCATAGATTTTGTTTTTCTTTTTAAAATCTACTTTGCTCTTCATTGATGTATGCTCAAGCTATATGTTGTCCCAAAGTCACAGCCAAGTCTCACCATTTTTACAGACACGGGTTTTTCAGGGTGATGTAGTTTGTCAGAATTCCCAGCCGGTACTTTGTGGACGTCCCATTGTTTGACCATTTGTACGAAGCCATTCCTTCCCCAGCCTTCTCCCAGCTCGTTGCGGGCAGTACGGCAGCCGCAGCCGGCCAGGTGCCTCTAAAGAACGGGCAGGTGCGGGGGCACAGCCGGGGGGTCCCGGCGATGGCACCACCGCACGGCTGTGGTGCCAAGCGCGCAATCCAGCACCGTTCCCGGCGGGACACCGGCCAGGGAAGCCAGGGAACCGGGGCCGGGCAGCGCTGCCCGCGGCTCTCCTCGGCCAACCCCCGGTAACGCGGCCGGCTCCTACCGAGAACTCACCCCGCGGGCCCCGCACAGCCGGGACACGGCCGGGACGCGCCGGTACCTGCGCGGGGCAGGGGAGGGCCCGGGGACAGCCCGGCCCAGGCGGGGCAGGGGCTGTGCCGGCGGCGGAAGCGCCGCTCCGCCCGCCCCCAGCCGAGCCGCAGGTGGGGCGGGAGCGGCACCGGGAGCGGGCGCTGCGGCTCTGCCCGGCCCTCCCCGGCCCGGCCCGCGCTGGCCCCGCGCCCGGCGGGGCTGTGGCGGCGGACGAGCCGCGCTCCGCGCCCGCCTCCCTGGCGAGCGGCGCCGGGCGGGCGGCTATGGACGGGCAGCCCCCGGCGGGCCCCGCCGCGCCGCGCTGGAGGCGGCGAGCGACCCCCCGCCCGCCGCCGCTCGCCTGGAGCAAGCCGCGGCCGCAGTCGTACCAGAGCCCCAGCGGAGTGCTCGTCACCGACTTCCCCGTGGAGGACAGGTGCGCCTTCTCCGCCACTCAGCCCGCCGGCACCGGCCCCCGCTCGCCCGGCAGCCCCGCCATGGGATCGGTGTCCAACGGCACCGTGCGGCCGCCGGGCTCCCCCGCGCTGTCCCCGGAGCGGCGCTCCCGGGTGCTCGCGCTGGCTCCGGACAGCCCCGTCGGTTCGACCGCCAACGGCACCGTCTCCCCGTCGGGCAGCGGGCAGGGCCGCCGGCCGCAGCCGCCCAGGACCGCGGGGCTGCCCGCGCTGGCCCCGCAGCAGGAGCGGATCGTGTTCGGAGCCAGCGCTCAGTCCGCACCGTGCCCCCGGGCTGCCGGGCCCCCGGAGGAGCCGGGAGGATCCCCCGGGCGCGGCCGGGCTGCCGGGGCCCCGGAGGAGCCGGGAGGATCCCCCAGGCGCGGCCGGGCTGCCGGGGCCCCGGAGGAGCCGGGAGGATCCCCCAGGCGCGGCCGGGCTGCCGGGGCCCCGGAGGAGCCGGGAGGATCCCCCAGGCGCGGCCGGGCTGCCGGGCCCCCGGAGGAGCCGGGAGGATCCCCCAGGCGCGGCCGGGCTGCCGGGGCCCCGGAGGAGCCGGGAGGATCCCCCGGGCGCGGCCGGGCTGCCGGGGCCCCGGAGGAGCCGGGAGGATCCCCCAGAGGCGGGCCGCCCCCCGCGCTGCTGAGCACGCAGAGCCCCGCGGCGCGCAGGGTGGGCTCGCAGCAGCTGATCCCCCGCAGCCTGGCCGAGAGCCGGCCCGCGGGCCGCGCGCAGGGCCACGAGCGGGGCCTCAAGGTGCGCAGCCTGGTGGAGACCCCGCGGCCGGCCCTGGGCAGCGACCCCGAGGACGAGCCCGAGGGCGGCCCGGGCGCGCTGCGGCGCGGGCTCCGCTCCACGTCCTACCGCCGGGCCGTGGTCAGCGGCGTGGACCTGGACGGCTCCGCCAACTGCAAGAAGAAAAACAGAATGTCCCAGCCCGTCCTGAAAGCGGTGGTTGAAGATAAAGAGAAGTTCTCGAGCCTGGGGAGGATAAAGGTAAGGTGTGCTGATAGGTGAAGGTGTTGGCTCCGTGGGAGTGTGGCCTGCTGATCCTGCATTTCCCATAAATGCTGGGAGTTTTCGGATTGCTTTTTTGCTAACCCAAAACTTTTCATAGTGACTGTGAGTTTTAAAAGTGCTGTTTTCCAAGTGAGGTGTTGGAGATGGCGGGCTCTGCTGAAACCCAGGAGGTTCAGAGCCTTTGCTGGCTGCCTCCTGCTCGCCTTTCCTGCTGGATTCTCCAGCTTTCACAACTGAACCACGGGCTTAAAACCTGTGTCCTAGAAAGGAGTAAACAGGAAAAAAAAAGGAGACATTGTCTTAATAAAGTCTGCCTTTATTAATAGAGACAGAAAAATGAACTTCCTCCCTCACTTCTCTGAGACATTAAAGTATTTTTAAAAATCACTGAGTGATTTTTAAATTGACAGAAATCACTTCAGGTATTTTAATGCCTGAAAGTAATTTTAATTTTTAATGCCTGAAAGTAAAAGCAGCATGCCTGTTTTTAAATCTTGGTTGTAATCCCTTAGAATCCTGTAGTAGTTACATTGAATGTTAATGTATTAAATTGTAAAGACATACTGATAGTGTTATTTTACTTATCATAGTGTAATATTGTATCTCCTTGTTTTAGATGTAACTTGTTACTGTATAAATGTATTCATAGGTTTCTGTGTAATAAAGTACATCCAAGAGCTGATGCTGTAGCTTTAAAAATAATTATCAGCTTTATAGCAGTTTTCAGCCAGTTTGAAATTATGGTAGTGGATGCTTCTGTGAAAACACTGCAAACAGTGAAATAGAAATTGATGAAATTGTGAACAGCTGCAGAGTGTGGCTTGGTTTGGTAGTAGACTTAAATCAGTGAGTTAAGTTTAAGATAGGAGGACATGAAACTGCGTTGTCCTTCCAGAGTTCTCTGCAAGTAGTGTTTTATGAAATAGACTCTTGGGCCCTGGGCCTTGTTGCACGAGAGCAGCTGTTTTATTTCAGGGGTTTGTTGTGCTCTCAGAAGGCTCCTTTACAAAGCGCTCAGAGTGGTTTTGTTTGCAGAGGGGAAAGGCAGCTCTCAGTGCTGTGCCTCTGCAGGCAGCCCTGGGACAGAGGGATGAGCTCAGCTCACTGAACCCCTCTCCAGCCAGTGTAGTGTGTTTTTGAAACACAGGGAAAATACATCTAAACAAGGCATGAGAGAAATGAAACTGGGGTAGCTTTTCACTTTCTCTGGTGACACCATTGTTTTTACTGAACTCTTGTCCAGCACATGAAGTTTACAGATTAGGCCCTGTTGATCTGGTGCCCAAGTCTTGAATAAAACAGACATTCTTGTTACTGTGATTATTTTGCATTCTCCTCCTTCTAACATATCTCTCTTTTCTCTTAAAATGATCTGCAGAAGATGCTGAAAGGACAAGGGACGTTCGATGGGGAAGGTGAGTCCTGTTCTATCCAGACTTGTTAACAACTCCCAAGGGAAATGAACTTCACTATTGTTTTGCACACTTCCTTTGTATGGAGTCAAAGACTCAGTACCTTCTTTTTCAGTAATGCAGCTGAGATGTGGGACTATAATTTTGGCCCTAGACCTACCTTGGGGTTATTTTAAAGACTATGAAGTGGCAGACTAAAAAGGTGTGTCAAGAGCTTCTTTTCCGCTTAAGTTCCTCTCCCTCCCAAAGCCTGAGCTGTTGGCTGTGTTTGCCTCAGCCCTGACAGCTCTGTGCAGTTCCACAGTTAGCTCCTGGAGGTGGGACTGCCCTCCTGCCTGTTCCTGGGGCCGTGCCCAGGTGCAGGACATTTGATCCATTGGGGGTTTGGGCCCTCCCTGCAGCACACACCTGACTCATTACCCTGGGCTGGGGCTCACTCAGCTGTCTGTGCCTTCTCATCAGCTGGGGGTGCTGGCCTCAACCCTTGGGCTGAGCAAGCATTTTCATTTCTTGCTACTTAGGCTTCAGATATAAGTGCCAGAAAAACACTGTCTGTGGAGCTGTATTTTTGTGGTACTCGTTAATTCTGGGTTTGCCAAGTTTGCTGCTTTTCCTGATATTTCAACAAGAAAACATCTATGATGAGTCCACAGAAGTTCTGCTACAATAACTGCTACTCTCTTGGCTTTTCCCTGTTTAATGCTTCTTTGAGGTCATCTCAGCTGCTGTGTTACCTTCCTCCTGTTTCTGTTTTCAGAACTTCCCGCTGTGTTCTCTTTGCATCATCCCCTTTCCTACTCTTTATTTTTATTCTCATGCTATCTCCTGATGTTTTCTGGATTCTCTTCCAATGGTCCTGTCTGTCTTGGATGATCCCAGCTAATAACTTTCTCTGGAATGCCTCCCACAATTCAGTTGCTGTCACAGTTTCCTCAGTTAAAAGTGTATAAACTCGACAGGCCCTTCCCCAAAAGCTGCTCCGAAGGCCACACCTGGTGTGAGCAGGTGGGACAGACCCACCCAGCCAGGTGAGAGACTGCAGGAGTTGGGGTCCTGCCTGGAGCAGCCAAACTTCCACTTCAGTTCCCCTTTCTCTTGTAGGGGAAGATTGGGTGTTATCCAAAACTTGGCCCATCTAAAAGTACCTTTCAGAGCCTGCCTGCTTCATGGCTGAATTGGCCTGTGGGTTTGTGTGGTGTTGAATTTCTGTCCTTGCTCGTTGCTGTTGCCAGGGGTGTGTGGCCAGGGAGGTTGGGAAGCAGTGGGAGTGCTCCATGCCTGTGTTCCTTTGCCACTGATAGTTCTGAATTAATGATGGCACAACTCAAATACGTCAGGAGTGTATTTGGTCTGAAGGTTCATAGGCCTCCTGCTTACTCAGACAGGCTTTTAACTTTCTTTTGGAATAGTTCAGACCTCAGATCTCTGAAACTGGGAAACAGTGAAATGTGAAGACAGTATTTAGAGTTGACAGAAGAAGGGTTGGCCTGGCAGTGTGCTTTTCCTGAACATGAAAATAGTGAGACCTGCAGATCAGTGGCTGCTCCACTGACACACAATCCTGTTTTCTGACTGCTGGTTAATTACAGAACTGGGTGCAGCAAACCAAGGAAGAAAAAATTGTTTGCTATTTTTTTTCTTGACAAAGGCCACATCTGTTCTTTAATTCGGTCTGGGAGGATCTTTGGGTACAGTGATCCATTGTCACTGTACTGCACCATTGTCCAGCCCAGATCAGTTGCTATCTTTGTCTCATGGAGTGTGAGCAGCACAGTGACACTTTGGTTTCTTTCATTGTTTAAATGTTACTTTAAATTTTTATGAGAGCAACTAAACTAACTTTCTAGCAACGACTGACACACTGTTGTTATTGACAGAAAATGCTGTATTATATCAGAACTATAAGGAAAAAGCTCTGGACATAGATTCCGATGAAGAGTCTGAGCCCCAAGAGCAGAAGTTGGATGACAAGGTTGTTTTTCACTATAAGCCCCTGAGGTCGACGTGGAGCCAGCTCTCTGTGGTGAGTTGGATGGCCAGGGACAGGATCTCAGGGTGGGTTGAAGCAAAGTCTTCTCTTACTCGCTGCTGGAGTTTCTGGCTGAAATTTCTCATCATCTTTTTCACCTCATAAGAACAACATGGAGGTCCCAGTCAGTTACTGGTCTTTGTTTCACATAAAAAACAATGAAACCAAGTTCATTTTAGAGTCCTGTATTTGGCAAAGACTCAACTTTACTGATTCATTAAAAAAAGGGTTGTGTGAGTTCACTAAAAGGGTGAATTATACTAAAGAAAGGCTTCAGTTAGTTACAAACAAGTTGCTGCTGAATTGTTCTAAATCACTGCACACAGCTCTTAGGCTGGCTTGAGTGCAGATGTTTAATGGAAAGCATTTTGAGAAGTGGAGAGCAGAGCTGGTGGTGCTGTGCTGTCCCTTGCACAGGCTGGGAAGTGTCTGCAGGGCCTTGGCAGAGCAGCATTGTCAAACAAAGTAAATTCAGCTGTTCTGCTCAGGGCTGCAGTCTCACTGCCTTCCCTGCCCATAACCTGACAGACTCCTGAGAGCAGCTGGTACTGCCACAGCTCTTTCTTGTGCGTGTGATTTTGGGACTGAAGGAACCATAAAAATTCTGTGTTTCCGGGGTTATTCCTGGACCATTTCTGTGGCTTCTGGAGGGATATCCCTATAATGAAGGGTTTGGGGTTGTTTTTTGTTAACATAACTTGTGGAATGTTGTAGATGCTCATCTCAGGCATTAGAGAGCTTATGCTATAATAAGATCACCTGGAGTATTTGACCATCAGCTCTGTATATCCCAATAAATGAGGGATTAAGCCTCAGGGAGCTCCCCAAAGGCTGGTTAGATGGTCTCATTAGCAGAGCTGTCTTACAGATGCTGGTGACCCTTTGCACTTTAAAGTATTGAAAGGTGAATCTCTCTGATTCAGTAATTATAAAGAAGGCAAGACAATGTGGTTTTGTAAATATGTGCTTTAATTTTCTTTTTCCAACAATCAAATACTTAAAATACAGTTCATTGGCTTCATGTTGCAAAAAAAAAAGTGTTTATAATGAAGTCAAATTGTTTTTTCTGCCTTCTGGGCAAACTAGCAGTTAAATGTTCAACAGCTGAGGTATTTTGGAAGGAATGCTATTTAGTAATAATAATGATAATTTCAAAACACTAATTTGCTTTGAGACAGAAATAGCATGAAGATCATCTCAGGAGGAGAACTCTTCTGTGCTGTGCTTCACTTACAGAAACCAACTTGTTCTTTACTGCTCCTCACACACAAACTTGTGCACTGTCTGTATTTGATTTGCAAGATTGGAAGTGGGGAGTATATGGGAGAAGGCATGGAGAAAACAAAATCTGGGAATGTGAGACTCATAGTGACTGTGTTTATAACTCTGGAAAAATTACATGCTGTCAATGTGTATTAAGAAGTTCAGAAGTGAGTCTGGAGTTGTTGCAGGAAGTCAGCTGGAAAATGTCAGTCCTGGGTTTCAGCATGTGCTAGGAAAGGAGGGGGAGAATGCCTCTGGTGTTTATGAGCAGTGCCTGTGCTGGGAAGGAGGGGGCAGAGGGATCCCCTCTCGCTGCAGGAGGCTGCCCTGGCAGGGCTGCAGCTCCCACCACGCTGTGCTTGAGGGTGGTGCCCTTCAGGTACGGAGAGCGAAAATTCTTCATGAGAACAGGAATAGAAAAGGGTGTTTGTCTTCCTGAAGTGTATTCACATGTGTTATCTCAGATGTGACTGGTTTCTCATTCATGTAAAAATCAACTGCTGTGAGTGGCTTTAGGGAGCCACTCACAGGTCACTGTGCAGGGCCACTCACAGGTCACTGTCCAGGGCTGTGTCCTTCCAGGGCCACTCACAGGTCACTGTGCAGGGCTGTGTCCTTCCAGGGCCACTCACAGGTCACTGTGCAGGGCCACTCACAGGTCACTGTCCAGGGCTGTGTCCTTCCAGGGCCACTCACAGGTCACTGTCCAGGGTCACTGTGCAGGGCCACTCACAGGTCACTGTGCAGGGCTGTGTCCATCCAGGGCCACTCACAGGTCACTGTCCAGGGTCACTCACAGGTCACTGTCCAGGGCTGTGTCCATCCAGGGTCACTCACAGGGTCACTGTCCAGGGCTGTGTCATTCCAGGGTCACTCACAGGGTCACTGTCCAGGGCTGCCTCCCCTCTGTGGTACCAGCCCAGACCCCTGGTGTGACTCTCTGGGCCCTTCAGGGCTGATGTCTGCACGGGCTCCCCTTTCTCTCCCCATACCCAGGCACTTGTGGTCACTTTGGCTGTGGTGCAGCCACTCAGTAGATTCCTGGTGAGTTCCCCCTTTCAGCACCTCCTTGTTTTGAAGGAACTTTTTGTCCCTGACTTGAGTTCACGTGTCCTCTTTTCATCCTTTGCTTCTCACCTCCATGGTTGAATCAGTCATTGCTGGGGAAAAGCCAGTCCAGTGTTAATAGCAGTGATGTTGGGCCTCCTCATTCCTTCTGATCATGTTCTAATCTTAAATGAAGTTTTTGTTTGCTTAGTATCACACGTGATTTTTTTTTACATTATTTCAGCCTAAACATTTTGGACACATCAAAATTAGGTATTGAATTTTCTTTGGCCGAAATGGCCAAAGCAGTCTCCATATCTGGGCCTCTGTCTTTTGGAAGTGTTGCTGTTGGTGGGGAGTGCAAGGCTGGGCCCTTGGCTGTGAGTTCATGTGCCCTGAATTCGTGTGTGCTTAGTGGGACACACCTGTGTGTGCCAGCTGCAGTTTGGAGCAGGAATTCAGCAGGTGCCCCGTGGAGCTCCCTGCTCTCTGGCAGTGTCTGTGTTAATTAACAGGGAGCACTGAAATCTGGGGGATGTGTTCCTAGCTATTTCCTGTGTTGGTGTATTTTTAGAAAACTCTTCCACTGCATCCAGAAAAAAGTTACATTGCACCTTTCAGTGCCATTGCACTTCCTCAGGAATGCTCTGAAGCTTTCAGGCTCCTGATTAAGATGTACTTTAATTGTTAAATAAGAAGCCATCTAATTAGCTCTTGCTCAGCATCCAGAAGTGTCTGCTCGTGGTGCTGTGGGAGTCTGGCAGTTGTGTTCCAGAGGATAGTGGCTCCCACACTGGAATGTTGATGTAACTTCACAGGCATTTACCTGTGACTCTGTACTTTGGTGTGCAGACCAGAGTGTGGCACCTCCTTCTTCCTGCTGTCCAGCATTGTGGGGCCTGCTGTGCAGGAATAAAATGAGGAATAATATATCCTTTAAAATGCCAGGGAGCAGGTGGAGCAAGAAGAGAAAGCTGTTGGTATAGCATGTTAGGAGCTTTTGGAGAAGACTGGCAGAAATGGGTGTGGGGTCTGGGGTCTGTGATGTGCCTCTGCTCCACAAAGAGAGCAGGGCCTTCCATGTGTGTGGTGCTGTGGCCCCTTCCCTTCCCTTGCCCTGGTGTCCCTCCTGACCTGGTCCTGTGTTTAGAATTCCTGTAGAGCTAGGCCCTCCTTGGTGCTTTGCTCTCTGGGTTTTGATAGTCCTGTCTCTCTTTTTAATCACATTTTCCCACAAAAGGTATTAAAATATCGATTGATTTGTCTTTGTAGGTGAAGAAGAATGGCCTGTCAGAAGCCATCAGCCAGGAGGAAAGGAAGAGACAGGAGGTACTCTGTGCTTTGGGGCTGCTGCTCAGGGCTGCACTGCACGCCTGGCTCGGTGCTCTGGGTGTTGATAAGGAGACCTTGATAAGAGTTCATTGCTTGCCTTCCTGCTCTCCAGTGAAGTCTCCTCTCTGCCCAGGGAGAAAAAATGAGCCCAGAGTGTGCTGAGGTGCCTGTGTCCATGCCAGGGCTCCTGGGCTGCTCCAGCCTGGCAGCACCAGCATCACTGCTGTGCCAGGGAAGGGGTGGCAGTAACTCCAGCTCACAGAGAGGGGACGTGGCACAGGAGCTTCCACAGCAGTGGGGAGCAAAGAGCAGCTTTTACAGAGCCCCTGGGCTGTACCTGCCCCTGTGGGCAGTGCTGGGCACGGGGTGTGCCTGCTGGAGCCCTGCAGCAGGGCAGGGCTCCCTGATGGCAGCAGCAGCAGCAGCAGGGTCTTGTCTGTTCTCTCTTTGCCCTTTGCTCCTTGTGTCCTCTTCATCCACTTTCCTCGTGCCCTTTGCTCCTTGTGTCCTCTTTATCCACTTTCTTTTGCCCTTTGCTCCTTGTGTCCTCTTCATCCACTTTCTTTTGCCCTTTGCTCCTTGTGTCCTCTTCATCCACTTTCTTTTGCCCTTTGCTCCTTGTGTCCTCTTCATCCACTTTCTTTTGCCGTTTGCTCCTTGTGTCCTCTTCATCCACTTTCCTTTTCCCCTTTGCTCCTTGTGTCCTCTTCATCCACTTTCCTTTTCCCCTTTGCTCCTTGTGTCCTCTTTATCCACTTTCTTTTGCCCTTTGCTCCTTGTGTCCTCTTCATCCACTTTCCTTTTCCCCTTTGCTCCTTGTGTCCTCTTCATCCACTTTCTTTTCCCCTTTGCTCCTTGTGTCCTGTTCATCCACTTTCTTCGTGCCCTTTGCTCCTTGTGTCCTCTTCATCCACTTTCCTCGTGCCCTTTGCTCCTTGTGTCCTCCTCATCCACTTTCTTTTCCCCTTTGCTCCTTGTGTCCTCTTCATCCACTTTCTTTTGCCCTTTGTTCCTTGTGTCCTCTTCATCCACTTTCCTCGTGCCCTTTGCTCCTTGTGTCCTTCTCATCCACTTTCCTTTTCCCCTTTGCTCCTTGTGTCCTCCTCATCCACTTTCCTTTTCCCCTTTGCTCCTTGTGTCCTGTTCATCCACTTTCCTCGTCCCCTTTGCTCCTTGTGTCCTCTCCCTGTGCTGTGCCCCCCTTCCTGCCTGCAGGGGCTCTGTCCCAGGCCAGGGGAGCTTGCCAAGCCTGGCCTGGCCAGGGCAGCTGTGTCCCTGCAGCTCCTCCCCAGGTGTGTCCCTCCACAGCAAGCAGGGCTTGGCTGGGGGCCCTGCAGCATTACCTACCATGGCAGGCTGTGCCAGTGTCTTCTTTCCTCTTCAGGACATAGCTCAGCCTCCTCCTGCTGGGAAGCTTTTGAGACAAGACATGTATTTCAGTGATGTCCTTTAGGAGCCCTTAGTCTGTGTTTCCTGGAGCCATACTTGCATCCTTTCAAAAAGAACAAGTTCTTTGGATTCCTTTTAAATGTAAAGTCTTCAATGTTACCAAAAAATATTTTCATGCCTGAGGATTTTCAATTTGAATTTGAGAGGCCAGTTCTTTCAGTGGGAGCCTAAATAAATATTTTAAGCTGTAGTTACATTACCAATTCATGCTCTTGCTGTATTTCTTTTAAACTGCCTTTTATCATTTATTCTTTATCTGTTCCTTGAATTGCTTTTTAGAGCCTATTAGATTGTATAGTTGTATACATTGTCACTGCAGTGTATACAACATATAATATAACAAATATAACAACAAATAGATAGTTATATACATTGTCACTCAAAAAAATATATTTGTCTTTTGCCTTGATTAATGTCCATGTCCTGTCTTCATACACATCCCATCTTTCAGAATCTGTTAGTGAGATGGATCTCTGTGCATATTTTGGCTAAAGAAAATGTGTCACAGACTGGTTTGAACTAAAATCATTTTCAGTAGGTGTTTCCTTGCAAGCCTAAGACCCTGTGTATGTGTGTAGCAGCTGCAGGGTGCCCGTGGCCCCCCGAGAGTGTACCTGTCCTTGGGGTTCATGTCCCTGAGCCTGGTCTGGTGCAGATGAGCCCCAGTGTGGCCTCAGGTGCCCCCCAGGAGTGCCCAGCAGGCTCCAGGGAGCCGCCCCAGCCCTGGGTGTGTGTCAGGCGCCCTGCTCTGGTTCTTGTTCTCTAGAATGTGCTGGGCTCATGGTGAGGTGATTCCCTCAAGGTGTCTGCTCCATTCCTGCCTGTGCTGATGACTTTGGGAAGAGCTCCACCAGGGACCTCAGCCTGCTCCACTCCTGTGCTCTTGGGGTCACTCCTCTGCTGAATTCTCTTCAGTCTCCTGGTTTGCAGTTGCATTGAAAACTCTGAATATAGACTTGTTAACAAAAACTTTTTTTCTAGTATTAAATAACTTATTTATAATAAATGATGCAACTATTATAGAGATGAATATTTAAGTCATAATATCTAGCTTACATCCAAAACTTTGCTTTGCACCCCTGCTCAACATTTTCTTTTTGTTTTTAAGGAAAAAAAGCCCAGTCACTAGTAAGTCTCTTCTTTTCCCCCTTCACTTTGCAGGCAATATTTGAGGTGATATCTTCTGAGCACTCCTATTTGCTGAGCCTGGAGATTCTGATCCGGATGTTTAAAAATTCCAGGGAACTGAGCCTCACAATGACCAAAACAGAGAGCCACCACCTCTTCTCCAACATCACGGATGTTTATGAAGCAAGCAAAAAGTAAGTGTGGCATTCCTGTATTTACCAGAGCTGTGCATCCTTCAGCATAGCAGCAGTTTCTCTTTGGACACTGAGTTAACCATTTTAGTGGTGGGCACTCCTTCCAAAACCCCAGCTGCTTTGAAGGTGGGCAGAGATCTGCACAGGAGTGTGAGCAGGGCTGGCCTGGGATTTGTGTCTGAGAATGGGAGGGAAGGAAAGCACAGAGTGAATGGTAGTGGAAATCAGCATCCTTCAAATCTGAGCAGTTCTGGGCTAAATGCTGCTCAGGCATCCAGACCTGGTCCTTAGTTTGCCCTGCTGAGCTGTTGAATTGCAGCTGGGGTTCCATGCTTGCCCTGGAGAGCTGGCTGGTGCCAGGTGTGCAGAGGCTGTGCCTGGGACTGTCACCCCTGTGTGAGCACCAGGGCCTGGCTCTGCTGCCACGGCCATCCCTGCTCTGCTGCTGCTGCTTTGGGGCACATTCCTTCAGTCTGCAGCCAGGGGAACAGACACACTGCAGATAGTGCCCAGAGAGGAGGAAATGGCAGATCTTACATGATACAAGTGCAGGGAAGTCTTGTTGCTGACTGGTAATTACTGCCAGTGTTATTTAATCCAGGACATGCATATGTATGTGCTCTCTGAGTACTTCACACTCTCTTTCACAAAGCTGCTGGATGTGGCTTGGCTTCCTTGCAATTTGCTCTGTTCACAGCAGCAGGTGGACCATGTATTCCACATAAGTAAAGCATCAGACTGTCTGTGTTGCTTTTCCTGTCCCTGGTTTGCAGTCTGCAGCGAGCACAGTGGCTGCAGTGGCTTCTGAAGGTACTGAGTGCTCACAGCTGTAGCTCTGTACAGCTTTACATGGATCTCTTTACCTGTGGAACAGAGAAATATTGGCCTCCTTTCAGAAGGGGGGCTGAAGGTTGAACAAGGATTCTGAATGGGTTTTTATTTTGTTTCTCCTTCTTTTGTCCCCTTTGTGAATTCTTCAGCATTAAACCCTCGTGTACCTCGGTGGAACTTGGGAAGGTCCCCAGTCACAGTAAAGTCATTTCTTGGCTTTTTTCTCTGAGACACCACAAAGTCTGTGGAATTTGGCATCTGTCGTGCAGCAGTTTGACTTCTGTCCTCTGAAGTTCATGCAGCAGAAGTTTTTGTTTTTTGGAGCTGATGTGCTGTGTCAAGTGCAAACCCATTTCAGGAGCTGCAGAGCAGGAGAACGTTTGGGTTTGGCTGGGCACCCTTCCTTCCTCCCTGCCAACCCCCTTTCTTTGTCTCTTGCAGTTGGGGTCTTTGCCAGAGGCTGGGGCTTGTGTGGCCCCAGAGCCACCCCAGTCTGGTGGCACTGGTGTCAGGGAGTGCAGCTCATCAAAGGCTTTATTTGCAAGGAGAATTTCCTTTTACAGGTGCTCCTTACACAAAGTGTGAGGTGTAAAAGTAAGGGACAGTGGGGGTGGGGAGGGCAGCACTCTTAGGGGAGCTCTAGCATCCCTTTTGATTAATAGTCTTCAAAGGAAGTGGGAGGGAGAGGAGCAAAAAAGAATGGAAAAATACCACATTAGCCTAGAATTATAATCTTATTCTTTCTTGTCTGTGAAGTCTGATGGTTTAAGAACTTGGGTTTTTATGACTTGGGGTAAAATCAGAAGTCATAACTCCTTTTTAAACATAAATGAAAACATAATTTATTTCCAAGTTTTGCAATACTGTTAAACTAAACCAAAACTTTGTGCTGGCTTTGAGCAACGTCATTTCTGTAAACAATGGAAGTGATTTTAAACCAGATACCAGCCTGGTGTCTCCAAACTGCCACTTTCTCGTTTTCAAGGTGTTTCAAAGTAGCAAGATCCACCCTTTTGTTATAAAATGGAGCATCTTCCCATTCTGCTGGTTTTGGAACAGCCTTTGCTTGGTACAAAACCTGAGTATGAGTGGAGTTACCAGTGGGTTTGGTTGCTTGGACAAAAGTTTGGTGAGCTGAAGAACCTGAGCTGATAGAAATACTTTATAAAAACCTTTAGTTGGAACTGCTTAAAGCCTCTGTCTAGGAACTTGGACTTGGAACATGTTTAATGGAAACTCTCCAGTAACACCAGGATGGGCCTGTAGTGCCTGACAGGGCATTCCTGGGGGAACAAAGCTGCCTTTGTTGGAAGCAGAATGCAGAGAGCAGAGCCTGTCTCAGCCTTTGGGAGCTCCCTGGAGTGTCTGTGGCAGAGGAGTGGAGATGAATGGCCTGTGCAGCGCTGCTGTGTGTGGTTGTGGAAACTCCTGGAAGGTGGCTTCAGAGAGCTGCAGTTCAGTGGTCCTTGTGTGATGTGCTGGAACCCAAACTCTCACTGCTCCAGCCCTGGTCAGGAGCTGCTGGACTGGGCTGTGGGGATGCCAGGGAGCAGCTCAGCCAGGAATGAGGCAGGAATGCAGCCTGAGAAATTCACTGTCAGGTCACACAGCTCCCCAGGAGCCTCTCTGGGGGAAGAGGAGTCCCAGGGAAATTAGGGAATTTTCTCTTTTTTTTCTCATTTTCTAGTCTTCAGGAGCAGCTGGTCTGCAGGGTCAGATCCCCAGTTTATAGGAAGAAGGAAAGCTTTAGCATTTGTGCCTTCTCTGCCATTAGGCCAGCAAAGGGCAAATGCTTCTGTGATACCAGAGCAGCATTGGCAGAAAAAGATCCTGACAAAACCATTTTAACAGATTCTGTCAGGTTTTAAACTCTGCCTGAGTCACAGAATGCCAGGATTGAGCACCCTGGTTGTGATGGGTTCATGACTTGGCAGACATTCCCATGGCTCTGGGTGTTCCCAGCGTGTCTGGGTGTGTTTATTGGCTCAATGGACATTTGTTGTCCTGCAGGTCCCGGGGGCTGTGGGCACCTTCCTGCTCTCTGGGGAATCTCCCTGTCTTGGCAGGGCTGCTGTGGCCTCTCCCTGCCCTGGGTTTCTGCCAGGGCTCCAGGAACAGCTGCAGAGGCAGTGGCTGCTGGTGGGACAGGCCTGGGCTGTGGGCTGGGCACAGGGGCAGCTGCTCCTGCCTGGCCAGTGCCCACTGAACGCTGCCCTGGGGGCTCTGAGTCTGCAGGCCTGGCTGTTACAGTTCTGTCTGTGTGCCTGTGGCTTGGCTCCCATTATTGAGACTGGGGGAACTCAGACTGATTTCAGTTCTGCACTTTAATCACCCTCTCTCCAGCCTTTTTTATTTTATAAAAACTGATTTCGATTCAGCGTGAAAATTCTATGGAAATAATACTATTTTTACTATTTTAAATTCCCCTCCCCTTCCCTAAATAACAATAATGTTGCAGATGCTCAGCTTGTGTTCCTGATGAGAAGGTTCAGATTTGGAGAGGTTCATCAGAAATCTTTGTTACTTCTGGCTGAAGTTATCTCAAGGTGGCAGTTGTTACTCTGGTAACAGCTGCACATATCACAGCTCCTGTCTCCAGGGGGAAGAGGCTGAATTCTGCTTGCTGCCCCTCCCCAGGTTTCTGTCCCTGCTGGTGCCAGCAGCACCTGCAGCTCAACCTGCTTTTTGAATTTGTCCTCAGCCTTCAGGAGTGGTGCAGAGTGGATGGTTCTTTTAAACAGTGCAGGATGAGGGAAATCAAATTCTGTCCTCCAATGCTGCTTGACTTTCTCTGAGTTGGATCTAACTTTAACCAGAAAAGTCCTGGATTTAACAAAGAGATGTTTGAAGTAAATCCTTCTGACATTCAGCAAAAATAGCTGCACACATCACAGCAAATTCCTTGTTGGTTAAATTGAATGGAATCATTCCATCCCTCAGTCTTGAGCTCTGTGGCAGAATCTATCCTAAAATTGTAAGTGAAGGGGTTTATGATGTGTCTGGTTCATTGATTGTATCTAATAATTAGCAGATTGGATATGGAAAACTACAGCTTTTGATTCAAACTTTGATGCAGGATTTCCTTATGGGACATGTTGGGAGGTGGGACTTTGATAAACTGCTCCTCTTTGTCTTTCTTTTCCCTTTTTTCTTTTTTTTTTTCCTGTCTTCGACTCTCCCATGTCTTTACTGGGACTGTCTCTGATGATGTCGCTGATGAAGCACCAGATAAATTCTAAAGGTGGAAGCTGTGGCCCAGCAGGGTCCAACACCTTGTCAGTGTGCCATAACACAGCAGGAAATGTTGGATTTCCTCATTTCCTGAGCAAAGGGAATTGGCAACAGTGGGAGGCTCTCCCAGCCATGAACATGTCTGAGCAGAGAGAAACAGATCCCAGTGTGGGATGGGGCTCTGCTGTGCCTCCTGAGACACTGCAGACTCCATACTTACAGGCTCTTTTTTCTGTAATTTTATTATTTATGTGCCCCTTGGGGCTGGTCCTGGCACTAAACCCAAACCCACAGCACAGGACAGGTCTGTGGCAGCTCAGGATGTGCTGTGCCCTGGAGGGGCTGCGTGGGGCCAGGAGGTGCTGGAGGCTCTGCCTGCAGGGCTGTGACAAATTGTGCCCAGCACTTGCAGGCAGAGCCCTGTTTATCAGCCAGTCCATCTGCAGTTCCTGTGTCAGAACTGTCACAAAACAAAACCAGACCAAAATCCACTTGATTGTGGTGGCTCTGGCTGACCCACTGAGAGCCTGGCAGCCACTCAGGGCAGTAGCTGCTTCTAAACACACCTGGAGAGTGCCTTAATTTAGTTAAGCTCTGTTGCTGCACACAGTCAGCTGCTGCTCAGCCTGTTCTGCTCCTCTAGCATGTTTGAGGTGTGTTTGTAAAGCAAACTGTGGAGAGCATCACTTGAAAAAGGGGGCAGATTTGAAGAGCCAGTGTTAGTGATTAAAAAGTTGAATAAGGGGCTGAAATTAAATAAAGCAGATTTCAAAATATTGGAGCTTAATGTGAGCTCATGTGTTCTAAGTATTTCCTTAATATTTTCTGTGCTGGATGAGAATTTTTGTATGAACTTGTTGACTCCAGGGAGTTGAGGGTTCTTGCAGTGAATGCTGATGTACAAAGGCTTCAGCCAGGACAGCTGTTCATGTGTGAGGGGTGACCTGCAGAGGTGATCTGTGAGCTGTTCCACCCCGACACTGGGGGATTTCCAGTGAGCATCATGGAAATCAGGGCTTGTGCTTGTGGAGCACTGGGAGTGCCGAAAGCAGTGGGAGGCATCCAGTGGCCAGAGGCTCTCGTGTGGGACAGACAGACAGCAGGGAAGCTGTCAGAGCAGGCATGGTCAGGGGAAGAGCCAGCTCAGGATTCTGGGTTCTGTGCCCATTTTCAGCGCTTCCAGTCCCTGCTTGGTTCCAGTGGAGGGCTGCAGGATGTGGAGCAGCGTGTCCTGCTCCACCACCACATGGCTTTGTCCTTGGCTCAACAGCCCCACATACCTGCACTCCATCGAGCGCTTCTGGTGCTGTGCTGCCTTAATTGCAAGAGGAAATGTGTTAATTTGTGTATGAAGTCGTTTCATTTCTTTTCCAACTCTGTTTCTGGAAATTCTGGTCTGACCAGCTCAGTGGTGCTGTTTGGTTGTGGCAGTGGGGGAGTGGGAAGTGGCTGTGCCAGCGCTGCTGAGCTGCCAGGGGCCGTGTCCCGGGCCCTTGGGGCCGTGTCCCGGGCCCTTGGGGCCATGTCCCGGGCCCTTGGGGCCGTGTCCCGGGCCCTTGGGGCCGTGTCCCGGGCCCTTGGGGCCGTGTCCCGCGCCCTTGGGGCCGTGTCCCGCGCCCTTGGGGCCGTGTCCCGCGCCCTTGGGGCCGTGTCCCGCGCCCTTGGGGCCGTGTCCCGCGCCCTTGGGGCCGTGTCCCGCGCCCTTGGGGCCGTGTCCCGGGCCCTTGGGGCCGTGTCCCGCGCCCTTGGGGCCGTGTCCTGCCAGCACTGCCCTCGCTGCCCTGCCAAAGGAGGGACGGCCTCGCCCTGTCCCAGGCCAGCCCAGCTGGCATCGGTGGCTGACTGGGTTGTGTCAGGGGAATGTTGTGAGAGGAAGATGCTGTTTGCATGTAAAGGTGAGCAGTTGATGTTAACCCCCCAGGTTCTTTGAGGAGCTGGAGGCCAGGCACCAGAACAACATTTTCATCGAGGACATCAGCGACATCGTGGCGAGGCACGCGGGCTCCACCTTCGACCCCTACGTGAAGTACTGCACCAACGAGGTGTACCAGCAGCGCACCCTGCAGAGACTGCTGTGAGCATGGAGAGCCTCCTGCAGGGCACACGGCGCTGGGGGACTCTGGGTGCACCCGTGCCTCCCAGCTGGGCTGGGCTGTCCCTGCTCCGCCTCCTCCGAGGGCATGGGCCAGCCCCGGTCATGGCTCACGCTCCCCTCACCCGCCAGTTCAGTGTCACACAGTGTGACAGGGGCCCTCCCTGTGTGGCACACCTGGCTCTGCCCTCACAGCCAGGGGTGGCAGCTCCTGAGCTTTGGTGTCAGTGCTGGGGCTGCTGGATCTGAGGAAATAATGCTGAAGGCTGGGGTGGTCTGACTCCTGCAATTCACACTTCCTTTTATAAAATCATGGTTTATTTAAAATGTAGCAACTCACACGATCATTTGGTAGAACATCCCGTTGAATTCTTTCATCCTCTTTCCCCCAGAGCCACAAACCCAGCGTTTAAGGAGGTGCTGTCCCGGATCGAGTCCCATGAGGATTGCCGGAACCTGCCCATGATCTCCTTCCTCATCCTCCCCATGCAGAGGGTCACTCGTCTGCCCCTGCTGATGGATGTGAGAGCCCCTGCTTGCCTCTTTGCTGCTGCTTGTTCTCACACTCTCTCATAACATTCCTCGCACTCAGTTCTGGTTCTCTCCAGTCTCTTCCTGCCCTCTCCCTTACACCACTCCTGGCTGTGGATTATGGGGTCCTGCTGCATTTGTTTGCTGACTGGGACTGGGCCCTCCTGCTCCCCCATTCACAAGTTAAATACTTGGATGTTCTAGTGGGAAAATTGTACAGTAAAGGGTCAGAATGGTTCTGAAACTCAGGAGGAGCCAGCCCAGGAATTGTATGTAGTGCTAGGACTGGAATGAACCCTGCAGCTGAAAAACAAGACCTGCTGTCCTGTAGGAAGGGTGAGGGCCCTTAGGCAGGGAATACTCTGGGAAGCTGAAGGATGGACTCCATTCCCAAGGGAGCTGTGAGTGAGTGGCACTGAGCTGTCCCTGCCTGTGCAGTGACCAGGGACTCAGGGAGAGTGATGGAAGTGCCAGGGTGTGTTTGTCAGGCAGAATTCACAGCAGGAGTTGGGGTCTTTCAGTTAAGGTGCTGCAGTCTGTGCTGCTTGGTCCTCTGAAGTAACTGATGTTTTGTTCCAGACTATTTGCCAGAAAACTCCCAAGGATTCAGCAAAATATGAGAACTGCAAACAGGCTCTGAAGGAAGTCAGCAAGGTACGTTCTCACGTCATTCCTGAGTACTTCCAGGGAAAAATGGATGTTTTCCATGCATAAATACTGCAGGCAGGAGGAGCACTGAAGGTTCTGCATTGTTGTATTTAAGGAAGGGCACTGGGGATTGGGTTTGTGCAGAATTACTGGCTCCTACTTGGGAAGAGATCCCAAAGTGGACGATACCATGGTGATTCTGGGTGTGTGGGGGAACCATGGGGGAAGTGAATCCAGCTGGGAGGAGGGTGTGTGTTTGGAGCTGATCATCAGCCTGGGTCAGAGCAGTGGCCCTGCTCAGCCAGAACTGGGACTGAGCCTTTGTTCCCCCTGGAGAATCACAAATTATGGGGTTCCTGTGGGATCACTGGGGTCAGGGGGAGCTGGGAGCAGGGCAGCCACGGGGCCAGCCCTGGTCACTGTGGCCCTGCAAACACCACGTTGAGGTGGGGGTGCCCCAGCAGTGCCCCTGTGCCCTGCAGTGCCCTGTGCCTCCCCAGCAGTGCCCTGTGCCTCCCCAGCAGTGTCCTGTGCCTCCCCAGCAGTGCCCTGTGCCCCAGCAGTGCCCTGTGTGCCCCAGCAGTGCCCTGTGCCCTGCAGTGCCCTGTGCCTCCCCAGCAGTGCCCCTGTGCCCTGCAGTGCCCTGTGCCTCCCCAGCAGTGCCCTGTGCCCTGCAGTGCCCTGTGTGCCCCAGCAGTGCCCTGTGCCCAGCAGTGCCCTGTGTGCCCCAGCAGTGCCCTGTGCCCAGCAGTGCCCTGTGTGCCCCAGCAGTGCCCTGTGCCCAGCAGTGCCCTGTGTGCCCCAGCAGTGCCCTGTGCCCAGCAGTGCCCTGTGCCTCCCCAGCAGTGCCCCAGCAGTGCCCCAGCAGTGCCCCAGCAGTGCCCTGTGCCCTGCAGTGCCCTGTGCCTCCCCAGCAGTGCCCTGTGCCCCCCCAGCAGTGCCCTGTGCCTCCCCAGCAGTGCCCTGTGCTCCCCAGCAGTGCCCTGTGCTCCCCAGCAGTGCCCTGTGTCCCAGCAGTGCCCTGTGCCTCCCCAGCAGTGCCCTGTGCCCCAGCAGTGTCCCAGCAGTGCCCTGTGTGCCCTGCAGTGCCCTGTGCCTCCCCAGCAGTGCCCTGTGCCTCCCCAGCAGTGCCCTGTGCCTCCCCAGCAGTGCCCTGTGCCTCCCCAGCAGTGCCCTGTGCCCAGCAGTGCCCTGTGCCCAGCAGTGCCCTGTGCCCTGCAGTGCCCTGTGCCTCCCCAGCAGTGCCCTGTGCCCAGCAGTGCCCCAGCAGTGTCCCAGCAGTGCCCTGTGCCTCCCCAGCAGTGCCCTGTGTGCCCCAGCAGTGCCCTGTGCTCCCCAGGGAGCTGCAGGCTGTGCTGCAGGCCCTGCTCAGCCCTGTCCTGTTTGCAGCTCGTGCGTCTGTGCAACGAGGGCGCCCGCAAGATGGAGAGGACGGAGATGATGTACACCATTAACTCCCAGCTGGAATTCAAAATCAAGGTAGGGTGAGGAGCATGGTCCTGACCAGCCAGGACAGTGAACGGGGGAACTTCCACAGCATGGTCATATCCCACAGTGATTCTTGCAAAGTGAGCTGTTGAGGCATGGCAGAAGTTAAAACTTTTGGTCGAGTGTTTTAATTTTATTAGAAGGTGATGCTACAGCACAAGGGATTTTGAATAAATACTGAGTGTAGAGTATTCTTTGCTGTAAATATAAGGCTGCTGTGCAGATTTTGGTGTTAGGAAAGAGGCCAAAGGCTGCTGCTCAGTTTTCCTTGTGTACTTGATGGGAAAGGTGTGCCTGGGAAACACTTCCAGGCCAGGGAAGGATCCAGGGGGTGTTTGTCCTTCCCCTGAAGGGTGGGATATCACAGGTTTCCATTAAAACCTTCCTGTACTATCAGTCTTTTGTAGGAAACACCAGCAGACCCGCTCATAGGTAGGGGAGGTTTATTGGACTTTCTTCAAGTACATTTATTGTTTCTAGTCCATGTTTGCTGCAATCTCATTTCTGTCTTTGATGTCTGTATTTCTATAATTCATGTCTGATACCATAACACAATGAGGATTCTTTTGGGAGAAGATAGTTTCATTATCAGGCATGTAGTGAGTGGAGGTTGGTTCATGGTTTTAAAAGCACAGCTCTTGAAAGGCCCTGGGTCAGGCTTGGGGCAAATTCTGCCTCCAAAAAGATATTTTCAACTGGCCTAAAGTATTTTTATTCTCAAATTTTGTCTAAAAATTGATAGTGATAATATTTGCTTATAGCAACAGCAGCAACAAGCACAACATTTCTGGGCAAGTGACACCAGAGCATTTCCTGGTGGGTGGTACCAGACTCAAGTCTTCAGTGAGTCCAGCCCAGTGTGGGGGCTGAGCTGCTCCAAGGTTCTATCGGGGTCTGGGTCCCTCTGCCCTGCCCATCCCTCTCTGTCCCTCTGTGGCTCCTGGGTGACCCCTCCTGCCCTGGGGCTTTGTCTTTCCCTGCTTTTCTGTGAGATTTCCCATTTTGCATCCAAGCCCCAGCCCTGCAGCCCCTCAGGCCCCAGGGCAGGGAAGCCCAGCTCTGGTTAAAGGCATTTTTCACTTCTGAGAGCCTCTTTTCTGCAGCAGGGACATGGTGCACGTGATTGCTCCTTTGGCAATTAAGGAAAACTTGAAGTAAAACCAAGCTGTTTCTGGAAGAGAGTCAATTAGGAAAATGGGATGAACTCATTTGGAGTACAGATTAGAGGAATTTTTTGTTCATCCTCAAATAGAACTTTTAAAAGTATTTTTTGCTTGTAAACCAATCATCATGGGACTGTAATTCTGTTTTATAGCCATTATAAATTAGTTAAAGTATTTCTGTTCTTGCCCAGTCTCACAGAGTTTTGGAGATTTGTTTATTATTTAGTTAGATGTAACTGTGGAGAGCTTCATGGGAACCCAAGGGAAGTGACTCAAATCTCGTGGTGCTTGTGTACATGGCTCAACTGTGGAATTCAATTTTTAATTAAGTTTCAGCAGTTTTTGTTCCTCAATTTTGCATCTTTTGCACAAGAGAAGTTGTGGGATTTGTTTTAGGGAGTCGGTGTTTGTTCTTCAGCAGTGAGGTCTCAGTCCCAGCACGGGGTTTGGCTCACAGGTACAGGCAGGCTGCAGCTGGCTTGGCCAGGGATTAGCAGATACAAAAAGCCAGCTCATGCAGAATGGGGGAGGCAGCTGCCAAACTGCATGGGGGGATGTTGTTAAAGTGTGTGAAAGGTGCTAAAATGAGGGGAAAAGAGGCAGTTGTGTCCATCACCTTGGTGTCTGTCTGGGGGCAGCCTCACAGGGGTCTGTGTGGCCAGCACAGTCCCACATCTCCCTCCCTCCATCTTCCTGGCCCAGAGGAACAAGAGGGCCTCCTGTGGGCTCTGGGTCTCCTGCAGCTGGGAATAATTTGGGTTAATGAAGGCAAATCTTCACATCAGGCAGCTCAGATCCTCTGGTGCAGCTGCTGCAGGTGTTGGCCCTCAGCTGGGGAGAGAGGGAGCTCCTGCTCCAGCCACACGAGCTGGATAAAGAGAGGAGCTGTAGGGTCCCTCACCAGCCATTTCCAGTGAAGCCTGACATGCAGCTGAGACCTTGGGGAGAACAGCAGGGCCATGGAACCTTCCTGTGGTGCTGCCAAGGAGAGCACACCAGGGTGAGGAAGGAACAAGGCTGCACCTGCACCTCCCAGGTGAGGGGGCTTTGTACACCCTGCCCGCCTGTCCTGGTGACACTGGCACAGGAGTGTCACCTCTGCTGCCAGAGGAGCCCTGAGCTACCAGGGACACTCCCATGTCCCCTCTTTCCCAGTGACACTGGCACAGGGGTGTCACCTCTGCTGCCAGAGGAGCCCTACCAGGGACACTCCCATGTCCCCTCTTTCCCAGTGACACTGGCACAGGCAGTGTCACCTCTGCCCTGAGGTGCCAGGGACACTCCCATGTCCCCTCTTTCCCAGTGACACTGGCACAGGGGTGTCACCTCTGCCCTGAGCTACCAGGGACACTCCCATGTCCCCTCTTTCCCAGTGACACTGGCACAGGGGTGTCACCTCTGCTGCCAGAGCAGCCCTGAGGTACCAGGGACACTCCCATGTCCCCTCTTTCCCAGTGACACTGGCACAGGGGTGTCACCTCTGCCCTGAGGTGCCAGGGACACTCCCAGGTCCCCTCTTTCCCAGTGACACTGGCACAGGCAGTGTCACCTCTGCTCCCAGAGCAGCCCTGAGGTACCAGGGACACTCCCAGGTCCCCTGGTGCTTCAGGAGCTGCTGTCACCCTGCAGACCTTGCTGAGGCCAGGCTTTGCTGGGTGCCCCCAGGGGCTCTCACAGCCTGTTCCAGCCCCATGGGACCAGGCAGGTCTGTTCATTTCTCTTTTCCATGAGCAGCAATGACAGGTGCCCAGTGATTCCCAGGTATTTGCAGCTGTTACCTGTGTGTTGTAGCAACGATGCAGGCCCTTGAACTTTGGTAACCTCTGTGTGTTTGTTATCTCTGAGCTTTGAGTTTATTCAAGCATTTTCCCCAAATAGATTGTACTCTGTTGTCTGTTTTTTAAAAATGGTTTAATTTGGAAGGATTACAATGTGATTTTCTTGCCTTGCAGCCGTTTCCATTGGTTTCCTCTTCACGGTGGTTGGTGAAAAGGGGTGAATTAACAGCATATGTAGAAGACACTGGACTTTTTTCCAAAAGAACCTCTAAGCAACAGGTGTACTTCTTCCTCTTCAATGATGTCCTCATCATCACCAAGAAGAAGAGGTAAGAGCTTCACCAGTATAAAACTGTTTTTGTGTTCAGTCCTCAAATCACAGTGACTTTGAACATGATCCTGGCTGTGGAATGAGTTCAGGAGTTATTTGAGCCTCTGTCATGGGTTACCAATAGCAAGTAACTGCTTGTTAAACAGGATTTCTTCTGGCAAACACAGTTAAGATCCCAAATTGTCAGAGGAATTAAAAAGATGGTTCTTTATGCCCTAGCAAAGACAAGTTTGGGAAGGATGAGGTGCTGGGACTGTCCTTTCCCTGCACACTTCCCAGGATTGCAGGAGCAGTCCCTGCCCCAGTGCCAGACTCGTGAGCAGAGCTGGAGCTCGGCTGAGCCCTGCTCCCACCCACAGCGTTGCCATGGCACCACAGCAGGGACAGAAATGGTTGGAGTTGGGCTTGAATGTTTGTGGCTTTCCTTCAGCAGCTGAATCTCAGAAGATTCTTAACATTCACTGAGACACCTCTCCTCACTTGGTGCTAAAAATGGGCATTTCTGAGGCTGCACTTGGGGCTTTTCCCAGCGTTCATCTCCTGCCCTGGCTCTGCCCTGGCTCCATTTCCTGGAACTGCTGGGGGACTGTGGCTCTGACCTGCTGGAGATGCTGCAGAGGAGGGAGCCCAAGGGCTCTCCAGTCCCAGGGCTGCTCCCCAAGGCTGGGCAGGAGGGGACACGGTGATTTGGGATGTGTGCAAGGCTTTGAAGAGGGATAAAAATCCACTTTTCCCCTCTGTCCATATTTTAGTTTATTTGGAATGTTTCTTCTTCTGCCAGTTGTCCTTGCAGTCCCTGCTGTGTGTAGATACAATCTGAATTTTTTTTAATCATTAAAAATGACATAATACTTGCCAAGCACTGATGCAGTGTCCTGAGAGGAGCAGTCAGTGCCAGCAGGTGTGGGGATGCTGGGTCCTGAGGAGAGAGAGGTTCAGCCAAGGGGCTCGGGAAGGCTCAGCCCAGTCCTGCTCACACAGACGTGGCTGTGGGCTGGGTTAGGGCCTGAGCTGAAATCAGTGCAATATTCACCCCAGAGGGCTCGTGGGAAATGCACCGACTGCTTTTGCTTGTGCTTGGGTTCCCTTCAGCAGGAGCCTGATCCAGCGGGTCTGTGGGATGGAAGTGAGGAGTAGGAAGGATTTGTAGAGCTTTATCTGCTGATTAATGAGTAAGAGGTTCTGTTTTGATTAGCTGTGCACATGTACAGCCTAGTGGTTAATTCATAAGAAATGCATTTATTATTCACTGCACAAATGCATAGACAGTTCTTTTTCAGACACAAGATTCCCATGTAGTGATGGCAGCACTCCCAGCTGGGATTTCCAGTTCTTCCCTTGGCTAAGGAGTTATTTAGACTAAAATACCGAACTGACTTCTTTAAAAAAAAAATACACCTCCAAAAATCCCCAAACTTACCCTAAAAAACCAAGCCCCAGGCAACCCTTTCCGTGGTTCAGAGCATCTGAGCAGGATTGGCTCCATTAGAAGCACGCTGTGTGTCCATCGTTTGGGAGTGCCCAGAGGCATTCTGCAGAAGGAGCCCAAAGCCCTGTCAGTGTTCATTTCCCAGAGCACTGGTGAAAGTGTCCCCTGGGCGCTCTGTGTCACACCAGGCCTCTGGCAGAGGCTGTTCCCCCGTGCGGAGCCGGGAGCTGCTGGAGGAGCTGTCCCCACCGCCGTGTTGTGCCTGGGGCAGCGGCAATGGCAGCCCTGACCGGGCTTTGTCCCTTCCTGCCCTCAGTGAGGAGAGTTACAACGTGACCGAGTACGCGCTGCGGGAGCAGCTGCTGGTGCTGCCGTGCGACGGGGAGGAGCCCGGCCCCGGCTCCTCTCCCGGCCGCAGCGCGCCGGGGATGCTGCACTCGGGCAGGAGCGCTGCCTCCCACCTCTTCAGGCTCCTGCTGCTCAGCAACCACGCCGGCGACAGGCTGGAGATGCTCCTGGGAGCAGACACTCAGTGAGTACAGCTACTAAAGGGATTTCTTCACCTGGTTGTCTCTGCAGGCAGCTCCTCCCGCCTGCCCAAAGTAGTACATATTTATTTATTTCTTTATTTCTATTACTTATTCTGGTTTATTGATTTGACTGCTGGGTAAGGCCTCGATTGCCCTGCCTGCAGAGATGAGTGTAGCTGTGCTTCAGGCAGGTTCCTTCGTGGGGCCGGTGTCACCGCGGGGCTGTCACTGCAGGCACAGCACCAGGGTGTGGCACAGGAGTGTCCCCAGGCACAGCCAGAGCACTCTGGGCCCTGGGCAGGGCGCTGGGATGGTGCTGATGGCTGGAGGGAGCAGCAGGGTCAGGAGTGCCTGCCCTAGAAAGCAGCAGCACCCAGTGCCTGCTCTGGGATGTGCATGTGCCATCAACCTCCACACGGCTTCCCAGCACTGAAAGAGTTCACTTGTTCTGGGGAAGCTGGAGGCAGGACAGAGACATGAAAGGGAGTGCTCCAGACATGTCCCTGCCTGGAAAAATCGATAGTTTTAGGTTGGCTTTCAAAGTTTAGAATAACCATGAAAGGAGCTGAATATCATCAGTGCTTCCTATTAAAGATCTCATTATGAAAGCAGGAGATGATTCAGACTTGTTTGGAAATGCAATTTTATTGGGGAAAAAATGCAGGACATTTTTAGTTGTCTGGGTTTTGTATGAAAAGACATTTTGTTCTGCAGGCTTATTATTGATTTGTTCTGTGCTGTTTGCAGTATAAATAGCAGTCCAGCTGATCATCACTCAGAGCAAGAGTCTGAAAAGAATTCCTGTGATTTAAGTTACCTATTTTTATAGTCTTATCTTTTGAGAAGGATGGAAAGGGAATTTCCAAGGCCAAACAGTTCAGAGAGGTGAGCGTGCCTTCAGAATAGTTTTGTGCAGGTAAAACTGAAATGTTTTCTTTGAGCCAAAGATTTCCAGCACAGTTTGATCGTGTTTCACCACCTCTGTGGCATGTGGGTCCTAAGGAGAAAAGCGCCAGTTTTAGCTGAGAACTTTCTATCGCCCTGTGAAGAAGGCAGAGCATGCACAGAGCTGGTGATACACAGGGGTTACTCCCAGGTGCTGAAGGGAGAGATGCTGGCACTGGAAGAATTAGGGGCAGCCTCAGAGCTGACCATCCTCCAGGGCACGAGCTGGGACAGGGTTGTGCTTTGCAGGAGTGACAGAGCCCGCTGGATCACGGCGCTGGGCCAGGACAGCGACGGGCAGCACACGGACAGGACCAGTAAGTCACAACTGCTGGGGCTTGTGAGTGCTCTCAGGGCAGCCACTGCCCTCAGCGGGGCTGGGCTGGCTGCAGATACCCTAAGGCAGCAGAAGGCACCGTGGGGGAAGGTGTCAAGTGGAAACGTTTGAAATAAATGGTGATGTGTTGTAGTAAAAGCCCTGCCCTGTGACTGCTTTAACTGAGCCTGGCTCGCTCCTTCCCCAGCCCTGGCTCAGGTGGAGACCATCAGAACGTACACAGCCAAGCAGGCCGATGAGCTCTCTCTCCAAGTCGCCGATGTCGTCTTGGTCTATCAAAAAGTGAATGACGGTGAGTGAGGGTTCTGCTGTCACTAACCATCTGTCACCTCTGCAGGGGGATCCAGCTACAAAAACTTGTTTCCTATTAGCACAGGGCTGCAGTGAGTAGAAGTTCAGCTTCCAAGGAAAACGTGAGCATTTGGGTTCAGGTTTCTAAAGGAAGCAGCAGATGTAACCAGCTGTAGAACGTGGCTGCTGGCCAGTTTTAGCATGGGAGGTGTCCACAAATAGGAAATTGAATTTTTCTAAAACCACAGAGCTCAGACATTCTAGTGAGTGCCAGGGTTGTCCAAGAGAAACAGCCCCAGTCTGTCATGCCATGGCCTGGGCTTTCCTGCTGCAGCTCTGGCTCAGGGTGGTTGCTGAGGTTTGACACAGGATCAAGTATCCCAAGATCACTTTGATTGTTGCCCAGACCTGCCCACAACTGCACTGATAGCACCAAGTGCTGGCTCAGGGATGCAGGACACTGTGAGTACTTGAGGGACTAAATTCTAACTTGCTGTTGCTCAGTTACCTGTGAAATCAGAGATTCTGTCACTGTACTGTAGCATTACTTCAAACTCTCTTTGAATGACAAAAAAAGACAGCGAAATTATGCAATGCTTTGCACATACTATTTGTTACCTGCTCTGGCTGGATTAAAAACATCTGCCAAAGCTATCCTGAACTGGTAGTAGATTGCCAGTCAAGGCAGATGCAGAATGTTCCTCAGTGCCCCCAGCCGGGGTAGGGCCAGTGCAGAGGTGTCACTGCTGTCCCCCCTGCAGGCTGGTACGAGGGGGAGCGGCTGCGGGACGGCCAGAGGGGCTGGTTCCCCTCGGAGTGTGCCAAGGAGATCACCTGCAGGGCCACCCTGGACAAGAACATGGAGCGCATGGGGCGCCTGCTGGGGCTGGAAACCAACGTGTAGCCGTGTCCTCAGCCCCAGCTGGGGCTGCTCCAGGCCAGGGGACGGCAGGGCCACAGCCCAGCAGCAGCAGCACGCTGGACACTCGCTGGACACTCGGGACCCTGCTCTGACAGCGCCGCGCTGAGCCCTGGCCCCAGCAGCAGCGTCTGGGGCACTCCTGCAGCTCCTGCCCCGCTGCCTCCCTGCGCTCCTGCTTCGTCTGCTTTGGAGCAGCTGAAGTTGTTTTCAGCAGTGCTGGGTGTCCTGAGGAGCTGCAGCCCCAGGCCCTGTGTCATGGGCCTTTGCCCTCGTGGCAGCAGCCGAGTTCCCTGGGCTCGAGGGCCCAGCTCCGGCCTCCCTGCAGCCTCACCAACCCCTCCAGGGCAAAGCCAGGGCTGGCCCCAGCCTGGCACAGGCAGGGCTGGCACCACCTCGTGAGGACCCTGCAGCTGCACCTCTGGCAGGCTGCACAGGCTGCTCCAGGGTCTGCTGTGGGCAAAGGATTTCTGCACGCTGGATAAGGGTACCACCCTCTGCAGAGCAGCTGCTGCTCCATCCTGGCACAGGGATTTATTTGACTGCAGGGTAACTGCTGGCACTGGGGGCAGCTGTTTCTGGTTGAGGTCTGGCACTTCACCAATGCTTCAGAACAGCACTCAGTGATGAGGAGAAGGTGGAATGCACTCAGTGCTCTGGGAACAAAGGCACTCGTGGCTGGAGAGAGGTGTGAGAGTGTGGATGAGAAAAGTTAAGGACCAGCTGCTGACTCAGCAGTGTAGAAACCAGGGGACAACTTGTACTACCAAGGCTTTCTTCCTGTTGCCTTCCCCAGCCCCTGCTGGTTTTTATCCTGCAAGATGCTGATTTGAGTGGTGAGTGAATGGAATGTTTGTAAAGATGTGTAGCTCTAATAATTTAAACTACATTAGGAAGGCAGTAATTTTGTACAAAAATACTTACCTGGACAGTGTGACAGTGGTTATATAGCCTTGCAAATTAATTTATAAGTGGACTGATAAAATAGTAATGAGAGAAACTGTAAATTGAACAAAGACTTATTTAACATAGTAAAAACACTGCTACTGTTTTAACGAATTTTACTGTATACATGTGGATGTTTAACACATAACTGAATGTATAAATCCAGGCATTAATTTTATTCAGATTTTTTTAATGCACTGTATATATTTTTCATACCTAGTTTTTCCAAAAATGCTGTAATGTTTTGTAAAGACATTTTTCATTTTTCCTATTGTTGGACACAGTTCTTCGGGAATTAAAAGACTTCTATGATTTTATAGGACAACAATCAATAAAGTGCTTTTAAATCCTTACTAAAAAAAGTTTTGATTTTGTTTTAAATGCCATAAAGCCACCAGTTGATAATGTCATTTTTGTCAGAGAAAGTAAATCTCTTCAGTAAACACTGGCATTTTACATTTTCCTGTTCTGTAAAGATAAATAGCACGATCTTGTGTCCTACCTCATCTGTCATAGATCCCATTTACCTGTTGGACTTGCAGCAATGGCCTGGGACAGCATCTCATTGCTGAGGCTCCATTAAGAGAGAGATGGGAAAAGTCTTCAGTTCCCTCTGCTTTGTCTTCAACCTGATGTGGTGATCCCCCAGAGAAGGAGGCCTCCTTCCCTCTTCCCTCCCTGCAGCCACCGGGGGCTCTTCTCCCCTGCCTCAGGCTCCTTCCTCTATTCTCCCCTTCCTCAGCCTCCCTCCTCTCTTCTCCCCTTCCTCAGCCTCCCTCCTCTCTTCTCCCCTTCCTCAGCCTCCCTCCAGCCGCCCCAACCCAAGGGTGCTTCTCCTCCTCCTCAGTTAGAATCCTGAGGGTGGAATGGTCACTTGGTGCTGGGGAGGGAGGTTAAACCACCTTTTGTGCAGCTGGCAGTGGCAATGAGGAGCTTGGCACCCTCCATCCCTTGTTAACCCAATGAAAGCACAGCCTAGCCAGTCACTTCAACTTGTTTCACCTGAGCTGCTCTGCTTTCCTCAGAATAAAGCATAAATCCTCCTGAACTTGATGGTTAGAGTCATTTTTGCAAAGAAAAAGAACCAACAAAACACCAAAGAAGGGAGAAAAGTTATATTTCCAGGCTTTTTTTCTCAAGGATAAACCTCAAAATCCTTAACAAAATTGTTATTCAAATAATCTTCCAGAGCTGGAGATCATTCAAAACAGAACATTCAAAACAGTGAGAACAGTTGAAATAAGACTTGCAAAAAAGACTCTTAATGGAATACTATAACCCATACATGAACTTCTTAAAAAAAAAAATAAAAAACAAAAAAAAAAGCCTCCAATGCAATGAAACCTTAACACATAACCCAACGTGACTTTCATCTAACCATGCTTTCTGCAATCTGCAATTTCAGTCAGTAGTGATGATGGATGGGGACAGAAAACAAAGGAAGATTAATTGAATGGGCTGAAATGCAGAAAAGAAGAATTTCTGAAGATTGTTTCCTCCCACGGTACAAATTCAACAAGTGTTTTCAAGTTTAGTTAAATTAAGCTGTAATTACCGTCTGTGGAATACTGGTGAGCAGACTGCTGCACAGCTGGAATAACACAGCAAGTATAATTACTCACCACACCCCAGTAAAGGAAAAAAAACCAGAACAGTTTAGGTATTACTAAGCAATATTGTAGCAGGGTTTTTAAATATCTGTTACCTGATGGGTAAAAATCCCAAAGAAAACAGCTCCAGCAGGACAAGAACGTCAGAGCATCCAGCACCTGCCCGTCTGTCCCTCAGGAAGCTCCCCCGAGCACAGAACACATGCACATACACCCCCTGCCAAGGAGCCCCAGGTACTGCTCCTCAGGAGGGGAAGCAGCAGCTCCCCCAGAGCTGCTCTCTCACTGAAGAGCTGCTGTGCAGAGCAGCTGCAGCCAGAGCTGAGGGTCAGCTGTAGCGCTCGCCCTGGAAGCGCGGCGCGAAGTTCCGCACGCCCTCGTTCTCCTGCGTGGTGATCAAGTCTATAATTGCTGTCAGCACGGCTGTGTCCCTGCTTTTTATATCATTCCAGTCCACGGGACGGGGGCTTTCTATTTTCTCTTGTAGAAGATCATCGAGTTCTTTTCTCAATTTCTGCAAAGTGTTGTAACAAAGGAAAAGAAGGAAAAAGGAAAGAGCTGGGTGGTTCGAGCCACACGCAGCATCAACAGAGAGGTTCCAGTGCCTCAGGGCCCTGTTCCCCCGACCTTTACACCTGCTCTCCTCCCCTCAGCTCATCTCCACACTGCTCTTTTCAGTGTCTCCCAAAACCCAGTCTCTTTGATGAGAGCTGACCATCTCTGGCAGTGATGCCTCTAACAGCCCACCCAGCACCCAGCTAACGAGCTCAGGATTAAAAAGACTGGATTAAAATAAAAATAGCATTAAAAAACAGAGTCAGGTATGATTTCTGGGATCGAATATTAAACAGTTCTATGGAACCCATTCCTGTTAACTGAGGAGCCCCACTCCCCTGTTTCTGTATCCCTGTGGATATCTCCTGTACTGACCAAGTCATCCCACAGTCTCTGTGTAAAATTGGATCTCTTTTGCTACACTGTGTGCTAGAACTGCTTGCTGGGAGTGCATTTCAAACATCATCTCCCACAGTGATAAATCAACAGGCCCACAGGAATATCAAATCCAGAAAACCCTAAGCAGAACCAGTGTGTTACATTGAGCCTTCCAGATACATGATTTTGAAACAGTTACCTTGACCAAGTTTGCTATTTTTTCTGGAGACTGGAAAACAATCCACTCATCCACAGCGATGGTGTCCTGGTCCTTATCCTTCTGAATGGATATATCCCCTCCAAAGAACAAGAGGCAGTATGGAGACACCTCTGTACAATCATACAGGTAAATCTGCACAACAACAGAATTGGCTGATCACCCTCAAAATATCTCCAGTGCCATCAGAAAGCCTTAATGAGACTCCTACAGATCTCCAGAAGATCCTTACTCAGTTACAAATTCTAAAGAAATGCACGAAGCAACTCAGTTCAAAAGAAGTTTTGAAATCAGATTGCACAAGGGCAAAAATGGTCCCAAGTCTTTCAGTCTTTCACTCAGTGGTGAAATGAAACCAGATGCTCCATAACAATGAGAGGAAAAAACATCAGCATATTGAGAAGTGTTAGGACTGTATTGAAATGAAAAAAAAAAAAACCCAAAAAACTAACAGAATTTATACCTGTTACTGCCAGACCTTAAAAAACCCAAATCCTCAAAAACAACCCCAAGAACTAAACAACATTAGTTCATTATTTGTGGTACAATACTCCAGTATCACAAAGGAAATCATTTGATGGTGTGTACAAGGAATGGCCTAGGACAGGAAGGCCCCAGAACAAAGGCTGCTCATGCCCCCTCTGAACCCTGAGCCAGTCTCATTCAAGAGGGGATAATAAAACAAATGAAGCCCACAAGCACAGCTCTGACTCACACTGCTGGTCCTCATCTTCAAATGGTACACCAGCCAGTTATAATGGAACTCTGTCTCCTCCACATTCACTGATTTGGGGTGGATATTAACTGATCCATCTGTCTTGGTGCAAACTTTCACCCTTCAAAGAAAAAAAAAAACAACAAAAAAAGAGTCTGATAATACAAGAAGTGATAAATCAACAGAGCAGGATCCCTGGGGTCTCTTTTCCCAAAGAACCAGAAGTGACAGTGTTTGAAGTGCTGCTGTGGAACCCCTTTAGAGCAGTGCTACTGAGATGCTGTAACATTGTGCATGGCTTGAGAAGGTCACACAAGTTATTTCAGGTGTTAGCAGGAATCCAGATGTTAAGAAATCAACAATCCCACCCTTCTCAGAGGAAGTAACACACAACCATGACTCAAACTCTAAAGTGAGATTCATTCATGCACTCAAGCCACTGCTTCACCTTGCCAAATTATGCCATGTAGAAAACACCTTGAATACAAACCAACTTTAAAGCAAACCCTCACATTTTTCTCTTTTTGCTGAAGCTGGGCCGGATCTTTGCCACTTTGGGATAGAGGCCAGCACAGATGACTGCTTTGAGCAGCTTCTCATTACCTGCAGGAGACAGCAAAGTGAGT